TCAGGTATAAGGCATCATCAGAACAAAAAAATCTTACCATAGTGAATGATGGGGGGACTGCAGAGTGGAGGCTCTCTAGACAGTCCCTAAGCCAGATCTGCCCCCATAGAACGCACAGCCTCAGGGCTTCCCTCCATCAGACTGAAGGATCAATAAACCGGGGGGGGGGGGGCACTACAATTTTTTGGCTGAGTTAGCCTTTATTGGGCTCCTGCCTCAGTTTCTCTGTTGTAAATGCTGCCAGCTTGGCGGGGACTTGGCCTCCCTGCTCTTCCCAGTCCATGCCTCCCTCACCGCAGCCTAACTCAGCAGCTCGCTGGGCCTGCCCTCAAACCTCCCAAGGACAGGCAGGGGTCTGTAACCAAGCAATGGACCTGTTTCCTTGGTCTGGTTTTCAAAGCTCAGAGAACAATGTTATGTCAAGAAATAGTAAGCAGTTTTATTTTTTAAATGCTTCATTTTTTTCCATTCAAATTTTAGGTTCAAATTCCTTAAGGAAAAAAAATTTTTAGTGAAAGAGTTTACTGTTACTGCAAATGAGTTAGGCATTGGATTGCTAATTGCAAAGTGATGATTTTAAACCCAGCAGCCATTCCACAAGAGAACGAGGCTGTCTGCTCCCATAAACATTTACAGTCGTGGAAACCCTATAGGGTTCACGATGAATCAGAATCAACTCAATGGCCGTGGGTTTGGGTTTGGAATTGTAAAAGCACTGTAATAACCCTCAATGAATAATAACCCTCAGTGTCGGAGTTCCAAACAATATATATGTATATACCAAAGCCAAACTGTCACCGAGTGAGACCCAGGGTAGAACTGTCCTTGTGGGTTTCCAAGACCATAACTTTTTACAGTTGTAAAAGCCACATCTTTCTCTTGTTTATATGTGTATATAATCCTTTAATCCTCAAAACAACTTATTGTCTCAGTTTTTAAGATTAGGAAACTGAGGCACGAGGAAATTAATCGACTCACTCAAGGATGCAGACATTAAGTGAAAGAGCAAAGATCCAAATCCAGGGGGTCTGATGCCAGTCTACGTTCTGTCTTCAGACATCTGCAAAGCGAGCCCTTCTGAAAATGAACCATCTTGTGCTTCGAGGGCTTGATTTTGTGCCCCTGTTAGAAGTCCCCAGGGATAAAGTTATTAAAATTCAGCTATAGCCCCTTGCTAGAACAATGTCATTAATAAATGAAATCTTGTTACTATTGGTTCAATTTTGTTTTTAAGTGTCAAATGTAGAGATGACAAGAATTATTAACCTTTCGGGTCACTGATGAGAGTTTCTATAAAATGTATACTTTATGAAGTTTAACGTATTCCTTGTGAGGTCTGAGCAAAGTCTAAAATAGATATTTTAGACTTCATAAAGTATATATTTCTCTGAAAGACTTCAATTTTTCTGGTAAGTGGAATGTAATTATATTTGTATAATTTAAGATCAAGGAATTATACATTCAATCATAATACAACTGTGATAGACCATTTTTAAGAAGGCCCCAATGATTGCCACCTCCTGGCAGTGAGAGCCTTGGACAGTGTCCTCGCCTTGAGTAACTTAGTTCTAATCAGTCTTAGGTGACAACACTGAAGGGGTATCACTCGTGATTCCGTTACATGAAATTGTGATTTCTAGCATGCCACCTTTCTGGGCTTGTGATATGGATCGAACTGTGGTCCCCTACAAAGTATATTGAGATACTAATGTGTGTTTCCTGTGAACCTGAGCTTGTGTGTAAATATGGTCTTTGGAGACGTGGCTGTCATTGTGAGGGGACACTGCAGTAGGATGGGTGCCCAGACCGGCTGGTGTTCTTACAGAAACAGGCAAGAGGGAAGGTAGCCATGTGAGGATGCATCTGACGAGCCACACAACTCCAAGGAATGCCTAGCATTTCCAGAATCTGGAAGACACAGGGAGGATCTTCCCTAGAACTAAGAGAGCGTGGCTTTGGACTCAGCCTCTAGAAGGTGAGACAATCTATTTCTCCTCAGCTGAGCCACCCTCTTAGAGCAGCCCTCGGAAACAAAAAGGAAAGAACACTTTCTCTGGCTGAAAGAACTGAAGGGAAAATTCAAGCTTGGATTGTGCTACGAAAGGATTCAAAGGGCAAAATATTGAACAACTCAGGAAGCTTCAAAAAAAGATGGAAGGAATACGCAGAGTCACTGTACCAAAAGAGGACCGGTCGACAACCATTTCAAGAGGAGCATATGATCCCGAATGGATGGTAGTCAAGGACAACATCCATGCTGCGCTGAAGGCGTTGACAAAACACCAGGCTCTCGGGATGCATGGAGTACCCATGGAGATTGGTCAACAGATGCATGCACACCGGAAGCATTCTTCCACACCAAGAAATTTGGAAGACAGCTATTTGGTCAACTGACTACAAGAGATCCATATTGGTGCCCATTCCGAAGAAAGGTGACCACCAGAGTGTGGAGATTTTCAAACAATTTCATTAGTATCACATGCAAGTAAATTTTTGCTTAAGATGGTTAAAAAATGGCTGCAAGAAGAAATTGCCAGAAATTCAGAAGACATGGAGTGATGATTATCATTGCTCACATGCCGACATCAAATGGATCTTGGCTAACAGCAGAGATGTTTGTTTGAGTTTTATTGACTATGCAAAGGCATTCCACAGTGTAAGATCATGGCAAACTATGGATAACATTGAGAATGGGAATTCCAGAACACTTCATTATGCTCACATGGAACCTGTACATAGATCGAGAGGCAGTCAGTCATTATAAAGAACAAGGGAGTATTGAGTGGTTTATAACCAGCAAAGGTGTGTGACAGGGTTGCATTCTTTCACCAGAAGTATTCATTCTGTACGGTGAGCAAATAATCGGAGAAAATGGACTTGCTTGCTGAAAGTGAAGAGGATTTGAAACACTTACTTCAGAAACTCAGACTACAGCCTTAGTATGGATTAGATTTCAACAAAGGGGAAAAAATCCTTACAATTGGACCAATAACTACATAAACATAGAAAAGATTCAAGTTGTTAAGGACTTCATTTTACCCAGATCGACAGTCAATGCCCACAGAAGCAGCCAGATCACAAATCCAAACAACATATTGCACTGGACAAATCTGCGGGGAAAATCGCTTTAAAAATGCAGAGATGTTCCTTTGAAGGCCTAGGTGCACACAACTCAATGCATTTTCAGCCACTTCCTATGCATGTGAAAGCTGGAAGATGGGAAATTGATGCCTTTGAGTTGCAGGGTTGGCAATATTGAATACACCACGGTCTGCGAGGATTAACGTGTGTCTTGGAAACACAACCAGAATGCTCCTTATGGTGAGACTGTCTCTCTTCCTTTGGACGTCAGTAGGGGTCACAGTGTGTCGGGGATCAGGCTTGGGAGAGGGTCGGTGGAAATGAAGAACTGCAGTGAGAACTGACACCAGCTGCAATGAAGGACTGGAGCCTAACGACCGACGACGGTCTTTCTGGGGCAGCTGTGGGGAAGAGCGGCTCAGCAGCATCTAGCAACTGAGACTAGCAGAGCTTGCACGCTTGGATGAAGTGAGCTGCCCTGTTGGGAAGGCCCAGATAGCAAGGAAGTGTGGGTGACCTACACCCACTGTGGGGATTTGGAGGCTACCATCAAGTGAGACCCCAGACCCTGGCCTCACCCTTTGATTTCAGCCTCGTGAGGGGCTCTGATACAGAGGACTGAGGTAGGCCGGCCCAGATTCCTGGCCCACAAATATATGTGTATTGTTTTTACCGAAATTTTTGGATAATGTGCTATGTAGCAAGAGATAATTGAGATACCTTCTTTACAAAAACAATTGTTGAGAAATGAATTATAAAACAGCAGTGGAAAATAGAAGCCATAATGTAGACCAGCAGTAGTGAACGTCTGTATCGTGTACATGGATAGTAACTATGAATGTGTTAAACCAGCTGAGGGAGTGCAAGTGGTGAACACACTTCAGAACTAAAGGAAAGATGGGCGGTTCAAGTCCTCAAGACACCTCACAGGAAAGGCCTGGCGATCTACCTACTTCCCAGTGAAAGCCCTACAGAGCATAGTTCTGACACGTGTTGTCACCGGGGTAGAAGTGAACTTCATGGCAACTGAGATCTGTCTGTTCTCTCACTGCCACCTAGCTGATTCTGACTCACAGTGACCCTCTAGTGGTGCTTCTCATCCTTCCTCATGCCACGACCCTTTCATACAGCTCCTCATGTGGGGGTGACCCCCCAACCATAGCATTATTTTCGTTGCTACTTCATTGTAATTTTGCTTACTGTTATGAATTGGGCGACCCCTGTGAAAGGATTGTTCGACCCCCAAAGGGGTCGCGACCCACAGGTTGAGAACTACTGCTTTGGTTGAACTGCCTTGTGAGTTTCTCAGACTAACTATGGGTGCAGTTGGTGATTTGGAATTGACCTTGTGGTTAGCAGCCCAAAGCATAACCTACTACACCCAACAGCTCCTGGTCTTCGTTATCAAGTGCAACTGTCTTAGAAATACAAGTGGGTGGTGGCTTTACCCAACAAGTTTATTTCCTCACAGTTTGGGAGGCTACAAGTTTGACTCCTGGGTGTAGGTTCTAGAGAAAGGCTTTCTCCCTCTTGGCTTTGGGAGAAGGGCCCCATCTTTGAGCTTCGGCTCTGAGGTGATCCACAAGTGGTGAGCATCTCTCTTCCCCATGTCTACTTGTCCCCATCTTCTGCTTATAGCTTGTAAGAGATCAACTCAAACACACCCCAGACCGATCCTTCCTCATTAACGCACACGCAGACAGCCCGTTCCCAAATGGGGATTGAACCAGAGGCACAAAGAGGTGCGGCTTTACAACATACAGTATCAGAGACGCACTTCAACCCATGGCATTCCTCCAGTGCCCACCCTCCGGCTCCCCTCTCTAGACTCGGCTCAGATCTGGGAGGAGCGCAGATGGTGAAATGGACTCGTGGCCCCAGACAGCAGGGGGAGTAAGAAACACATCCTGGAGACAGCAATTGTTCCGCCAGTTTATTTGTCCTGGATTGCTCCATAGGCCAGATTCATACCGTCATGCAGAAGTTTGACACACAGCCCCAAGCTCACCCCTCACCTACTCCTCACACCTTTCTCCTACCCAACAGGGACAGAAACCCTTAGACTGGGCGAGCCGCCCATTTTGCCAGGGGCAATGTCTTCCTCCCATCCCTGGATCAGCACTTCTTCCTTGGGTCCCTTTCAGCTCATCCATCAAGATCTTGCGTCCTCTTGGCTCCCAGAAGTGAAACAGAAAGCTGGCCAAGTCCTTGGTTCTCCTGGGAATTCACCCTATTCCACCTCACAGAGCCTTTGCTGGAGTCTTGTCAACATCATGCAGTGATGGAAGCACCCTAAGCTTCCAGAGGCTCTGCTGTCCCCTGAAAGCCAAGTTCTAGCTCCTCCCAGCCAAGACAGTCTGATTTCAGGGCAAAGGGACCAATCAATTTGACATTCAGTGTTGCTACAGCCAGGGAGGCACAGCACGGCACAGACACTGTGAGGGCAGAGGGTTTTTGCCCCCCTCAATACCCAGTCCATCACTTGCGTGCTCATAAACACAAACATTCCTTTTCATCACAAGTTCAAAGTCAAGATGGCTTCAAACCGTTCCTTCTATGGTAAAGAGGTCTGGCTCACTTGGAAACTGGAATTTCAGAATTCCCGTTGTTTACAGGGTCTGCCACTGGCACCTTCCCCATGTCCCCATGACGTGCCTAAAGGCAGAATTAGAGGGACAGTCACCTGCCTCCTTCTTTGATCCCTCCCTCTGTCATGGTCTCTCAATGACCCCCTCTTCCTGCCTCACCCCTGTTTTCCCCATACCAATTCTCCACTAACTGCCCTGACAAAATCACTGCCAAATTGCCACGGCAGGCCAGACACCAACAAACATGCCATTAGAGACAACAGCCTTTGCAGAGCGAGTCTGGGATGGGCCAGGGGACGCGGGAAGGGGTAAGGAGAGGTGGCCCGGAAAATCCTAGGAGGGAGCAGGGAGGAGTGGCACAACCCTTAGACAGTGGGCAGCGGGCTAGCTGGATCTCTTCTCCAGGAGGGAAGGGGCTCTGTGGAGAAAAAGAGGCTGCGGTGAGCTGGGGATGGCACAGGTTGTGGAAGGAAGCTCCTCCCAGAAGCCCCACCCCTCCCAGGTAACTGAACATATATGTGTACACACCTCTTCATGAGCCTGCCTGCAGATACACCCGACCTGAATACATCCTTCACCTGCACCCATGCACCCCTACACACCGGCCTTCTGCACTCAGTACATCCAACTTAGCCTGCACACTTAAACTCACTCTTACACAGGTCTGTATATAAGCTAGCTGTGTGTATACATATAGCACACTTAAGTTCACAGGTGCCTACTGTATTTTCATTCAAGTAATGCATACAGTATATGGTGTTTTGAAAGGCACAACACCCCTTCACCTATTTGTTTCCTGTACGTAGCCATACATGCCTCAGACATCTGCACACCTGCTTACGTGCTAGCATTATATACTCATGTATGCTCACCTGTATGCATGCCAGGAAATAATCATGTATTTACCACATACATATGCCTTCAAATTCACACACACACACACACACACACACACACACACACACACACTCCCTCTCTCACACACACACCTTAGCCCTGGTCCTGGGATGGTGCTGCCCTCTGCTGGAGACAGCGGATAAGCTCTTTTCGGTTGTCTAGGATGGTGTCAAAACTCTCCTGGAGGCGGGCCTGCTGGTCAACCAATTGGTGTTGCAGGCCTCGGATCCACTGGAGCAGGGCCAGGCGACGGTACATCACCAAGTGCACGTGGTGCTTCTCCTTCTCCCGCTCCTTGTAGCGCTCCTGAGCCTGCAGCTGTTGCACTGCCTTGGCCACGGAGGGCAAAAGGGGGCCTGAGGGGCCAGGATCTCCAGGAGTCCCACAGGCAGGCTCAGGGCTGCTGCTGCTGGGGCTGTCGATGCTCAGAGAGCTGCTGGCATAGCCGTTGTCCTCCAGCGGGGAGCAGGCCGTGCCGACATGCCCCATCTTCTCAGACTGAGCCCTGGGAATCTCTGCCCCTTCTGGGGGACTGCGAACCTCCTCCTCAGGGAGCCCAGAGACGTGGAAGGCCTGGTTGTCGGAGGGCGATTCAGGGGAGCTGCCCATCAGAATGGCTTCCACCTTGACTGGCATCCCGTGCCAGTTTTCATTGGCATCCTTGGCACTTGCCATGAAGTTGGAGTTGCTGTCTGGTTGGAGTTCGGGCTGGCAGATCCCAGGAGGTGGACCCTCTGGGAACTGGCCCCCCTCAGCTAGCCCTGGTTGGATGGCAAACATCTGGCCTGTTAAGGAGGAAGCAGAGGAGTCACAGGAGGGCAGGGCAGGGTGCCTGAAGGCATGCCGACACGCTGCAGGGGCAACACTGCAAGTACGAGTCAAGTTACTCCTCCTCGTCCTTTTCCCTGAACTCTGGTCACATGGCCCTTTGTGGTTGTGGTGTCCTAGCTTAGAGGTTCAAGTCTACCCACAGGCACCTTGCAAGAAAGGTCTGGCAATCTACTTCCCAACAAACACTGACGGTTCTCATTCTTCTGCACCAGGTTTCCCCTCTGCCCTTCCTTGGCATACTGGTGTCCTCAGCCCGGAGGCGGAGGACCTTCCGCTCTCATTTTATATGCACCTTCCCCAGATGACCCCATCCTCTGTCCTCGCTTCAAGAATCAGCCATCTGCTGGTGAGCCCAGATCTGTCTCCACCCAGATCCAACTGGTCTCCAGCCCGCACCTCCACAGATTGCTCCCTCCTCAGCGGTCTCAGCTGCAGGGCTCTACTCGCCATTCTGCCACCCCAGCCAGAATCCTGGGAGCACCCTGGACCCCTCGCTCTCCTTCCTACACCTACCTAATCAGCCACCAAACCCCACTGACTGCTCCTCGGCAGACTCTGTGTGAAGGCACGGCCGTCTCCCAACATGCACTTGGGCTCAATGCCGACCACGTCTTACCACATCTTCCTGCCCAGCCTTTTCACTGCTCTCCTTGCTCACAGTTAAGAAAATGTAAGTGGGAGTTGCTGCTGCTCTCTGTGCCCTCCCTAACCTCCTGCTAAATTATGATCCAGCCTACACAGCTCTGCCAGATCCAGCCCACTTCCCACCCCACCAAGCCGCTCCCTTGGCTGACAGTCCCCTTCCTCTCCTCCCTTTCCCAAGCCCTGACCCTTTGCACTTCCACATTCAGCTCTACTATACCTACCTCTCTGACACCTTCCTCAGTCTGCCCCCTTCCTCTGGATAGACAAACACACCCGAGTTTAGTACACCTTCCCCTGCGTCCCCACTGCCCTGGTATACATGGCCTTCCTCCGCATTTGTTTCCTGGCGTTGGCACATGGTTGGTGGCCAATAAATCTATTCAACTTAAAAACACAAAACAAAAAGCTTCTGTGTCTTGTAATCTCACTCACTACCATCAAGTCGATGCCAACACAGACCCCATGGGACAGGGTAGAACTGCCCCTGTGAGTTCCTGAGACTAACTCTTTACAGGAGTAGAAAGTTCCATCTTTCTCCCTCAGAAAGGCTGGTGGTTTTGAGCAGCTGACCTTGTGGATGGCAGCCCAATGCATAATAGCACTGTCATCCGGGTTCCTTTATCTTGTAAGAGTAGCTTGTAAATCTTGCTCCCAGACAACACTGGAAGCTCCTGGTTATAGTCTCCATTACATCACCAGGTGGTGCAAATGGTTAATGCACTCAGCTACTGGCTGAGAGGCTAGAGGTTCAAGTCTACTCAGAGGCAGGTTGGAAGAAAGGTCTGGCGATCTCTCCACCCCCACAATCAGCCACTGAAATGAAAACCCTAAGGAGCACAGTTCTACTCTGACACACTTGGGTGGCATGCGTCAGGCTCAACTAGACGGCAACTGGCACCTAGTTGTAGCCCAGGAGCCACCACAGACTGGCACTGAGCAGGCGCCGGTGCATACTCCCTGAGAGAGAACACGAGTGGGAATACAGAGCCCGTGGGCAAGAGGCTAACGCTGACCGCTCTGAATCCTGGGCCAGAAGAGCGAGTGCTTCCGGAATATGTCATGATCCTGTCTGTGTCCCTGCGCCAGTACTACTTCATCCTGAGGCCTGGAAGAGATGGCTTGCCAGTATTAGTTTGGGGGGGGGGGGGATAGAGTAGGGTGTAGGGATGACTCCTTTGTAATCTGCACCCATCCCCACCGCCCTTCCGTCCAAGCAGTTTTTCAAGGTGGCTGGAGATCTTCCCGGCTTCAAACTTTTTCCCCTTAAACGTGGCCCCGAAGGCAGATGAGGTGGGGGTGATGTTAAGAATCACGGGTTCTCAGAGATGACAAAATGGGAGCCCAGATACCTCGGGATCAGGCCTCGCCCCCAGCTAATCCACCATTTGCCCTGGAGGGGGTGCTCTGTAAAAACTGGGGCGCGGCAGCCTCCCTCCTACCTAGCCTCGCCTCAAAGGGCGCTAACCTACCCACCCCTCCCCCACCCCCGAAGACCAGACAGAGGCCACCCTTTTCCGTAACCTCCCAAGGGAGGCGCAGGGCGGAGGCTGGCCCTCCCCCTCTCCCCGCGGCTGCGCCCGCCCCGACTCACCGCGCGGCGGGCCCCGATCCCTGGCAGGCCGGGGGTGAAGGCACGGGCCGGCGGGTGCGCGGCTGCAGCCCAGCCCCAGGCCCGGCTGCGGAGTCGGCGGCGTCAGCGCGGCGGGCGGGGCGGCGGCCCACGTGGGCCCGTTCCGTCTCCCGCGGAGCTGCGCGCTGGAGCCCGGGCGGGCACCGTCTCCCCCCGCCCCGGGCTCCCTTTCCAGGTCCGATGCTATCGCCTTCCATCCCCGGGCCCCTCCGGCCGCTTGGCCTCGCGGCAGACGCGGCGATATTTTCCCGAGGGAAACCCTACCCTGCCATTGGCACTCCGGCTTAAAGCCCTTCGGTGGCCCCGCGTTTCATGGCACATCTGCCGGGCTCGGCGCGCCCACCCTGCGCTCCTGTGCCGTGGCGGGCGGGGCCGGTCTTCTTTAGGCCAGGCCGCTTTTGTACACAGCTCCCTCCGCCTTAAACTCCCTTCCCTCCCATTGCAGAGCTCTTCAGAAAGAAGCCTTTAGATTCCTCCCCACGAGCCCTGACGGTGAAGCCGATTTGCCCTAGGGCCGCGACGCATAAGGACAGCAGTTAGAACACACCGGGCGCCCCGCAGGACAAAGCCGAGGCTGCAGGCCCCTGGGGAGACGTCTGGCCTCTGCAGGGTCGCTCTGCGCTGCAATCACCTGGCCTGCAGTGGGTCGCCCTTTTTTCTATCCCCTCAGGGCACCGTGTTCTTTCCCTCGCTGCACTGGTCACAATTAGAATTGACATTAATTTTGTACTTCTTTGACTCAAAAACATGTCACGAGAGCTTTGTTCTGAGAGACGAGAGAAAATCCACGCCGGGACAGGTCTTGGGGCTTACGGTCTCCAAGCAGATCTCGATCCTCCGCAGAAGGAAGGACGACGGCTTCTCCCTGTCCGGAAGGAAGGGGACACTTGTGCCCAGGTGAGGAGGAAGAACAGGGTATCCGGCATATGGCTCCCAACTCCCGTGGATTCTGCTTCCTGTCTGGGGAAAATGCCCAGGGGCCAGGAGGCCCAGTTTGCACTCAAAGGGCCTAGAGGAATTGCTAGAAAAAGACGTTTGGTCATGGGAAACGAGAGGCTCTCTCAATGAGATGGGGTGACACAACAGCCGCAACAACAGTGGACTCACACGTGCCAATGACATGACCGTAAAGTTGGCGCAGAAGATGTGTTTCAAAGGCCACCCACCATGAGTTGAATGAAGCCCAATGATAGAGCCAAAAAGCACTGGCTGGTTTTAGGGGGGTTGTGTCACTGAGTGACTAGCTGGTTCTTCAGCATAGCAATCATGTAGGACAGAGTAGCATAGACTGGAATTAAAACAAACCACACAACTATTGGTTCATAATCTACATATTCAATTCTATAGTTCAGTCATGTCAGGAATTTCACAATCGTTAGCACAATCAATGGTAGGATTTTTTCTTTAGAAGAGCCAAATTTGTGATCAAAAGGGCAGCATTTCCCCAAGGATGAGGTTGAGAAGAGTTAGGGAAGAAGGAAGGATGGACACAGGAAACACGGGGCGGCAGTGGGATAAGTGATGCTGTCGTGTGGGGATCGCAGTCAATGACCCGAAACATTGTATGTGAATTATTCCATGAAAAATTGATTTGCTCTGTAAGTCTTCATCCAATTCACAATAAAACATCTTTTAAAATAGAGGCAGGGGGGAGATAAAAGGGAAAGCCGGAGGTTAACTCAATCTTTGAGTCTCTCCCAGCTAAGAAAATAGAAGTGGAAAACCCTTTTCTATACCAGGCAGGTCCTGAGACCTAACGAAACCAGGTGCCAAAGTCAGTTACTTCTGAGCACCTCGGGTGCATCCGAGTCAAACGGACGGACTGGATTTCTGGAAGCACGTCAACAGGCCTTTTTTACATACATGCTTCTGAGTGAACTTAAACCAACCACCTTTCTGTTAACAGCCTAACACGGTCATTGTTTGTAGTGACGCAAAGGCCTAACAAGTCTTCCTTTTTCCATCACTCACTACAAATTCCTGTCGCCTGTAGCCAGGGGGCTCTCGTTCTGTGGGGACCCAGATCCCCATGCCTGACGGAGCTGTTAGCCTTTGGTGGTCTAGAGTTGTTCTGGGGTCTGTGTATTCCTTTCATCATCTTTTGATGCTTCCTGTGTCACTCACACTTTCGCTCATAGAATCCTTCAAAATGATAACTCGAGGCTTGAAGCGTTGCTTGAATTCCTTCGGCTGAGAAATGCCGTGTTCTTTCCTTTTCATTTTGACTCCAGGTCTTTGCACACTTCACAGTAATACTTTAATCTGTCTTCTCCAGCTGCCCTTTGAGAGCTTCTGTCCAGCAGAGCTTCCCCTTTGCCACCTTTCACTTGCTCTATTCCCTCCACATTCAAGAGCGATCTTAAGAGTCTCTCTGACATCTGCTTTGGCATTTTCTTTCTTTTCTGACTTTTCAGTAACCTTTGTTTTCCCCCCACATATCCTTGATGTCATCCCATGACTCAGTCACTAGAGTTCAATGCATCAAATTTATTCTTCAAATGATGATTAAATTCAGGTGAGATATACTGGCGGTCATATTTGAGCTCTCCTGGACATGTGTCAATTTTCTTCACCTTCAATTTGAACTAGCCCGTGAGCAATTAATGGCCTGTTCTGCAATCGCACTCTGGCCTTGTTCTGATTGATGATATCGAGCTTCTGGGTATTTAATCTGGCAAGGCCTACACGTATAGTTGCTGTTTATACTGTTGAAAAAAGGTATTTCCAATGAAGGGGATGTTGTTCTTGCAATAATCTATCACCAAGGCCAAATATTAAACAATGCAAACAGCATCAAAAGAGGGTGGAAGGAATACACAAAGCCCTGCATCAAAAAGAAATAGTTGATGTTCAACCATATGATCACAAACTATGGTATTCAAGGAAGAAACCTAATTTGCACTGGATGCAAATTAAAGCTATAGGAATTGAGAAAACCAATTGAGATGTTTCAACAAACATTTAACAGTGGAAGTGCTCACTTGTTCATGCCAAAAATTTGAAAGACAGCTACCGGGCCAACCAACTGAAAGAAATACGCATTTGGGTTTACTCCAAAGAAAAGTGATAGAACAGAATGCATAATCTACTGAACAATATCATTAATACCACCTGTGAGTAAAATTTTGTTGGAGATATTTTAAAAATAAGTAACAGCAGTTCATCGACCACAAACTGTTAGAAATTCAAGCCAGATTCAGAAAAGGACGTGGAATTGCTGATATCAGATAGATCTGGGCTGAAAGTAGAAACTCCCAGAAAGATGTTTGTTTGTGTTTTACTGACTGTGCAGACATTTGATTATGTAGATCACAGGTTCCCAAACCTACTGGGTCCACAGGCCCCTTTTCAGAAAAATAAAACACAAAAACATTACTTAGCACCCCATAGCAACTGATCACTTTTGTACTGTAGCTCATTATCCAGAATAAAGTGTAGGTATCTGCTTTTGCAGCCCTTCTGAGTAATTTTTGCACCCACTAGTGGGTGGTATCACCTACTTTGGGAAACACTGATGTAGATCAGAACAAATTATGGGTAACACTGAAGAATGGAAATTCTTTTTTTTGTGCTTATGCAGAGCCTGTGCATAGACAAAGAGGTGGTTTGTTTGTTTGTTTGTTGGTTGGTTTGAAACAGATCAAAGGTATCCTGTGTGATGTTAAATTAAGACGGGTGTGTGTGTCAGGCATCATATCCTTTCACCATACTTATTCAATCTGTAAATCATCCAAGAAGCTGGTCAGTATGAAGGAGAATTCAGAATTGGGAGTAGAGGAGGACTCATTAATACTCTGCGATGTGCCGATAACACAACATTGCTTGCTGAACGTGAAGACTCGCATCACTTACTGATGAAGATCAAAGACTTCAATGTGGATTTTGCCTCAGCAATAAAAAACAAAAACAAAAATCCCTCTACAAGTAGACCAATAAGGCCAATAAGCATCATGACAAGGGGAGAAAAGATTGAAATTGTCAGGGACTCGCTTTACTTGGATCCACAATGAACACAGCACCCAGGAAACCAAACGACATATTGTATTGGGCGAATTGGCTGCAAAAGACCGCTTAGCACAGATGTTACCGAGAGCACTAACGAGCACTTGACTCAAACCAGGGTGTTCTCAAGTGTCTCATGTACAGGGGGACGCTGGACAATGAAGAAGGGCGTCTGAAGAAGCGATGCCTTTGAATTGTGGTGTTGGTAAATAATGGTGCGTATGTGGTGGACCGCCAGAAGAATAAGCAGGTCTGTCTTGGAAGACCTCTTCTCATGCACGTCGGTCATGTTATCAGGAGGGACCAGTGTCTGAGAAGGCCATCGTGCTCGGTGAAGTAGAGGGTCAACAAAGAAATAGTGCCCTCAATGAAATGGATTGATGCCTTGGCTGCAGTGGTGGGCTCGAACCTAGCAGCGATTCTGAGGGTGCCGGACTGGACAGTGGTTCGTCCCCTTGTACAGAGGGTTGTTATGAATTGGAGGAGTGGACGAATGGTTTAACACCAAGAACTGTGGGGCCTGCCCAGAATGGCCTCCCCACCCCATTCTTCTGGATCTGGCTCTCCCTGCTTTAATCACATGAGCCAAATGGGTTAGTGGTGGGTGAAAAGCCGAGGGATAAGAACCTCACGCCAGTTGAGTTTTCCTCTGGAGCATTTTGAAATGAAAGTAGAGATGTGGGCCTAAGGCTGCAGCACAATCCGATCCCCTGCCAAGTGGAGGAAGTCAATCTGTAGTAGGAGAAAATGACGCTGACACACAGAAGCAAAGACGGAAAAACAGAGAAAGTCTTGGTCACATTCCAGTCCCTGTTTCCTGGAGCCTACCAACTTCCCTGCAGTTCAGTATGCTTTCCAACAAGCGCCTGCTTTTGGCAAGGCTCACCGGAGTGAGATTTCTGTCATGGGTAATCAGAAGCATCCTGATGAGTGCAGCAGCACACGCCTGCCCCTCTCAGTCCTCACTTGCTGTGGCAAG